CGAACAAACCGATTTTCTTATTAATTCGTTTATGGGACAAACAAACCGATTTTTTTTCTCCGTGCATCGCACGGGTAATCAACTAGTTAGTATTATATGACATGATAATTTTAGGAACACAAACTCATCCCTAAAATTTTCTCCACTTGACCCAATGATAGCTCAATTGCTACTAGCGAATTGAGTGGACGGAGAAGGACCTCAATTTGAACTCTATCAATATTATTTTTGGGATGGATATAAAATTTTAATTTTTGATCTGCCTTGTATTTGAAATTAATCTCATAATTGACTCAAAAAGCCAAAATTTATGGAAATATCTAGAAAAATTTACTTATCTCAAAGAAATAATTAGAGTTGATATAAAAAAAAATTCTCCACAAGTCAGTAATGTCACTGTCACATCTACCCAAAAAGTTTCATTGTGTCACTGTTAATGAAGGACAATTTTTTATTTAAAACCTTTTTTTTTGTCGTTTTGTAAAATTTCTCCACCTCATATTCGCTAGTCAAGTTTAACGGAAAATGTTTTTTTTTTTTGTAAAATGGGGTAACTTGGTATATGTACTTTTTTTTTCAAATAACTTGGAGATATCCCCACTCAACATCCTTTGACTACCTTATTCTGAGAGTACGGCCATAAGACTAGCTTCTCATTGAAATAGATTATGCATTGGACCACTGTTGTAACACCTGGCAACTTGCAAGGATCAACGACTGTCCCCACACACTAACACGAGACTTTTCAGCGTGCTTTGTCCTCACTCGCACACTTCCCGAGAAAACTTCTCAGGAGGTCACCCATCCCAGAATTTCCCCAAGTCAAGCACGCTTAACTATGGAGTTCTTCTGTTATGGGCTACCGAAAAGTAGATGCATCTTGTTAGTATAGTTAGTATAGGTAGTACCAATTAATTCTTATAAGTTATTCCCAACTGTACCGTCCCATACTAGCACAGTCTCTGGAATCCCTCTCTTTCGGGTGTTGATTCGATTCATTCATGTACCCCATCGCTGGAAGCCTGCCAGGAGCTGCTCCTTGTCCATGCTCTTTCGCACCGGCGATCACTCCCCGCCCTCGTCAGCGCCCAGGATGTTACATGCCCACCAGCTTTCGCCTGGTTCGTTCTCGAACCACACCGTACTGGAAGAGAGGCCATGCTCTGATACCACTTGTAACGCCTGGCAACTTGCAAGGATCAACGACTGTCCCCACACACTAACACGAGACTTCTCAACGTGCTTTGTCCTTACTCGCACACTTACCGAGAAAACTTCCCAAGAGGTCACCCATCCCAGAATTTCCCCAAGTCAAGCACGCTTAACTATGGAGTTCTTCCGTTATGAGCTACCGAAAAGTAGATGCATCTTGTCAGTATAGATAGTACCAATTAATTCTTATAAGCTATTCTCAACTGTACCGTCCCATACCAGCACAGTGTCTGGAATCCCTCTCTTTCGGATGTTGATTCGATTGTAGTTTTAGAGTTTAGCCAGCAAGGGGTGAATTTATACAAATTATGTTTATGATAATTCTGCATATGCCAGAATTGAAAAGAAGACAAAGAAGAAGAAGCAAAGAGAAACAAGGATTACAGATTCAAGATTGATTAAGAGAGTCTTGAGAGGACGTTTATTTCGTTTGTTCAACTGCCTTTTATATAATAAGGATTTAAGTTGTTAAAAGCTTAAAAACTAATAGTGACAAAATATACTAATGTCTTATTATTATTATTATTATTATTATTATTGTTGTTGTTGTTGTTGTTGTTGTATGTAGCATGTTACATGTAAAAATATTAATGAGATTCCTTTTTGTAAATATATTAAGTACTCGTTTTGATGGGGGGTTTTTAAATTTTATTTATTTTAAAGAAAAAATTTAGTCAAATATATTTTTGTAAAAAAAAAGTCAATAGTAAATTTAAAAAAATAAAAAATTTCTAAGAGAATTTTTTAGATGCCTTTTAGACAAAGATATAATTACTTTAACTTTAGCTTAAAAGAAAAATAGCTATAAATTTATTGAAGATTAACCTAATGATGTGATTGGTTTGTACAAGATGGTATTAGTATTATATGACATGATAATTTTAGGAACAGAAACTCATCTCTAAAATTTTCTCCACGTGACCCCATGATAGCTCAATTGCTACTAGCGAATTGAGTGGACACAGAAGGACCTCAATTTGAACTCTATTAATATTATTTTTGAGATGGATATAAAATTTTAATTTTTGATCCGTCTTGTATTTAAAATTAATCTCATAATTAACTTAAAAAGCCAAAATTTATGGGAATATCTAGAAAAATTTACTTATCTCAAAAAAATAATTAGAATTAATATAAAAAAAATTCTCCACAAGTCAGTAATGTCACTGTCACATCTACCCAAAAAGCTTCATTGTGTCACTGTTAATGAAATACAATTTTTTATTTAAATTTTTTTTTTATCTTTTTGTAAAATTTCTCCACCTCGTTCGTTAGTCAAGTTTAATGGAAAATGTTTTTTTTTTTTTTTTTTGTAAAATGGGGTAACTTGGTATATGTAAAAAAAAAATTCAGATAACTTGGAAATATCCTCACTCAACATCTTCTGACCACCTTATTCTCAGAGTACGGTCATAAGATTAGCTTCTCATTGAAATAGATTGTGCATTGAACCACTGTCACTCTAGAAAGTGTGAGACTAATCCTTCTTCAAAGAGAAGGCAAATTTTCTCAAACCCCTAAAGTATTTCAAGAATTTGGTTAATAGTATAAGAGTTTTTCAATTTATTTATATTACTCGCTGTTTACCAGTTAGCATATATGATAAGTTCTGTGTGAACAGCTGCATCAAAACAAAGACTTCTGTATGACATTATTATCAAACAAAATGGTTCTTATCATTTTGAAGCTGCCATTAATTGCCAAGAAATAATTTGATATCAAATTGTATAGGCGCTCTTTGTACTCTTCAAACAATTTGCTAGATACTAAATTTAAATCCGTATCACTAGCATTTTTCCCTTATTGTTGGACCTAATAAGTGCACATAACCAACAATCATTTTTTCAAATGTTAAGGAGATTCTTCCCCTTATCAAAGATTTTGAGTTCGAATTTTGAAAATGAAGAAAATTATGATAGGCAATGTTATTAAAATTGGCTCGGCTCGGGCGAGGTATTGGGTTATTGGTTCAACTATTGGGTCACTGGTAGAATCGCATGACCCGATAATTATATGCAATTCTATAATTTATATTAAAAAATTATAAACATACTCAAATATCTAAAAAAATGATAAAATTTTCAAATATTTTAATATAAAAATAATAAATCCCACATTATTATCTAATAAATGATCAAACAAAAATATAATGATCGTAATATGGGACTTCAGGTTCAGTAAACGACATTTCTAACTATAAGTCAAATCAAAATTTTCTGCATAGTGCATAATTGAGATAATATTAGTGTTGTAGGTACATAACTTATGTAAGTCAATAAGCAAAAAATACTCAAATATGTATATTATGTTTTTTTTAATTAGATTATTATTTGTTTGGACCGGGCCAGGTCACCGGTTAACAGATCGCGTTATCAATTTTCATGAAAATCGGCTAGGTCGCACCAGTTCTAATGCAGGGCTGATCCGTTGCTTCACCTAAATTGATTTACCAGCTCTCAGATCTAACCAACCGGACCGATTCGATTTTGTTAACATTGGTCGTAGGAAAGTCGTTCCCTGTAATGAGTTATTGAGTTTCGACAGTGCTCAAATCATATTAGTAATCAATCAACTGGTAAATATATTCAAATAATTGCACATAAGCTGTTGCCTTATGTCAACTAAGTCTATTGCTTCTAGTCCTCTAACTATACTTTCTTTTCTGTTTCAATAGTTGAAAATAATCTCATTTGATAGATGATCGTAGCCTATTATCACTTTTGGCTCTAAATATTACTCAATAACCCACAATTTAAATCCCATTAATTTAAATCAAAATAAGATGCAGTCTTGTAAATTGCCAATTGGTTTGTGGGTCCAGTTGCATGTACATTTTTTGTTTTTTGTTTTACAGTGATTGACCGTTGCCACAAAGATCTCTGCAGTTACTCAGTGCTGTATAAATTAGTCCCTTTATGACTTCTACATCAAAGTTGCACACAACACCTCCTACTTGTTTTATCTAAATTGTAATAACTTTGGAAAAAAAAATTCAACTCCATCTTAAAAAACAACTTCAACAGAGAAATTGAAGACTATAGACAATGCTCTGAAACATTTCAGATTAAAGAAGGTGCCTGGTGCTGATACTAAAGTATGTGTTAATGATGTAACGATGACACCTAACTTCAGAATCTATAGGAAAAGAGACCCAAATGAAACCAACACTTGCACTTCCTACCAAGTGATCAAGCTGAAACTAACACCGGCTTATCCTACCAAGAAACTCAACTGCAGCCAGCACCTGCACTTCCTACTAACAACTCCTACACTTTCCAACTCACAATAGCCAAACTAAAGAAACTGAGTTTGTGATTCAATCAAATTATATGCAGTGCAGCTCAAATCTGAACATTATATAAGCTATCAGGTGATATCCAAAAAACGTTGTGTATTGAAGGCTTGGACTTTTTTCAGATTAAAGACAATGGACAATACTCTGAAATAACATTTTACATTAAAGAGCATGTCTGGTGCTGATACCTTAGCACGTTGTAAAAAAGGTAACCATCACACCTAACTTCAGAATCTATAGAAAAAGAGACCCAACTGAAACCATAAAACCTGTGTAAATAATTGCCTACAGTTACTGTCAATGTTTTAAAATGCTGGCTCGCTGTTAAGGAAAAATCCATATACTGGCTAAGGGAGAAGCCCCTAATTCTGAGAAAGATTCTCAGTCAAACACTCACTAAGAATCTTTCATAAGAAAGAACCTCTCTTTTTATTCATAATGGCTACCATTACTTTCATAACCTCTCTTTTAGTTCCTAATAGCTGTCATGACTCTAATGACCTCTCTTCATATGCTCCTTTTTCAAGGTGTCAATTCTCTGATCACAAGCTGCAAGCTTAGCATCCAACTTAGCAATGAGCTCGCTCAGCTCCTCCTCTCCTAGGTTGTCGAAACTTGGATCCCAAGTTGGATACTTCATCCTGATATTCTCTTTCTGCACTCTTGAAATCTCAGCTTCAAGCTTGTTCAACTTATTCTTGTAATAGTCTTCGAGATCAAAGGTCACAACAGATTTCTCATTCCTTTGACGCTCGTACTTTTCAATCATGGAGTGTATCTTTGAGGGATTTTGGGGCCAAGTCACTGGTGGAGCATCCACATTGCCATCATATGCAATTAAGATAGCCTCTACTCCATTTTTGGTGGAAAAATCAGATACTTCCTTCTTTAATCTCATTAATCTCTTCCTTCTCTCCATGAAAGATACTTTACAAGGTCTATCATTTGGAATGTGTTTACTGTTTTTCCTTGAACGTCTCATTTCCTACAATATATTTACACAAAAAAAAGAACTTGATGTTATAAATTATAATATATAATTAAACCTGCAACACAAAATTTAAATAATAATAATAATAATAACTAAAAGTAAAAACCCTTTTTGTGGAAATAAACAAGAAGAAGGGCTTTGATTTTCTCATCTTATATTAAAATTGTTTAACTCCATTAGTGGTGAGTTTCACATTTATTTTTAAAAATAAAAAAAAAAATTGCACACAAATCAAACAATCGTACATAAGAAAATAATTTTCATAAGATGTGTTTTTACCCAAAAAAGAGAAACCTCCTCAATCCCTTAATTCTCTTATTCTCTTTTGCTTTTGCTGTGAACTTAAATCAATTAATTACCCAATATCAACATCAACATCAACATCAACATCACAATCACATTTAGTCAATAAAACTAAACATCATCTCGTAATATATAATCAAATCTACAACACAAATTACAAAAGAATGGTAATAGTAAGAGAGAAGATGTATTAGAAAAGCAATTATTGAAAGAGAACAGAGCGTATCAAATTATCAGGCAAGCTAAGAGTTATTAACAAAATTAAACAACATCTAAGAAAACAACACAAAAACAAAGAAAAAGTCACCGCCTAATGTAAAAAAACAGAAGCATTACTTTCAACAAAGGCTGATCTCAGACTGTGCTCTAAGACTCAAAGAGGAAATACAGCTAGAGCTTCACAAGAATTTGAATTTATAGAAATCAACTTCAACATGTGACAGATTTGACTGGTTCATTGACATTAGTTAGCAAATCATAACAGATAAAGTTAATTGACATTAATTAGCAAATTAAAACCAATACAAGAAAAATTCAAATTCAAATTGGAGAGTGTTTGGTAGAAGGAAAAAATTTAAAATCCTGGGAAAGTGAGATTGAGAATTCAATTTATACACGTTTGTTGTGAGAATTGTAAAAAAATTTAGTAAAGTCAAATTCCCGGGATTCATGTTTACGAAGAAAAATTCTATCTTAAAATATCACCAAATGGGTGGTATTTTGAGATGGGAATATTTGATAATTTTTTTGGGACATAATTAACCCCAATCCACATTGTCAGCAATATTTGACAATCAATCACATCAAAAAAATTAACCCAACATTTTCGTGAATATTTTGACCTACCAAATAACCTTTTAATTATATTCCCGGGAAACTCATTTTTTCATCATATCCCCGAAAATCGTGACTCCCAAGTAAAAAAAAATCTCCACGCCCCCTTAAATGGGTAAAGCTTATGGAAAATATTTCAAGTTAACATAATATAAACCAAATTATAAATTTGATTTGACTAGTTTTAAGAATTAAAAGTTTGCTTTGAGCTATCGAGCCTTAAAAAATAACATATTACACTTCATAAAATGTAAGTTACTATTATTTTGTTTATTTTGTTTCTGTTTAAATTGATGAAAATTCAAAATAATATAATAGTTGAAGAAGCCACATCTGAGTTCAAAATAATAAAATAATATCTTTATAATTAGAAAAGAGAAGTCATTACAGGACAAAAATGCTACATGTCTTATTATTAGCCCATGATTCATATTCCTTTTCATACTTAATCGTTTAATAACAATAGTAACAATAAATGAAAAATGTTAACTAAATGAAAACGGGAACTAAATGAAAATAAAAACTAAATGAAAATAGAAACTAAATGAAAAACGGAAGCTTAATGATAAACGAAAGTTAAATAAAAAAAGGAAACTAAATGAGAAACGAAAACTAAATGAGTAAGCACTAGCAGAAGTTTTCCTTCTCAAGTTGGGGCTAAAAGATGTCACATGACTGCTTTAAACCCCATGAATCATATTCATTTTCACACTTAACTGGTTAATAACAAGAGATAGGTTATTCTACTTACTTTTATTCTGTCTATCTTTGTCTACTCCTTTCAACACCATTAGATTACAATCTCATCCGACGGTGGATATCTGTGGAATAAAATAAACTATTTTTTCTCCTCATTTCCTCCCACACCCTTTTTCTCTAAATCTCTTTCTCCAAAATGAAAAACGCATACTCGATCAAAGAAAAAAAGAAAAAACACATGCAAATAGATGTCCCTGATCCTAATTTCCATGATTTTTACAAGGATCGCACTAAAAGATCTTTTTGTGAAAATCAAGTATGGGCTGTGTATGATTTTTCAAAGCGATTCCTAATTGGATAATTTTATTTTTCTCTTACAATATAAATCGCAAGCATAGAGAGAAAGGGGAGGAGAGAAAAAAGGTGTGAGAAGAAGTGAGAAGAAAGAAAGAAGAAAAAATATTTATTTTATTCTGCAAATATCCACCATTGGATGAGATTATAATCTAACAGTGTTGAAAGGGATAGACAAAGGTAGGCAGAATATGAATAGGTAGAATAACTTGTCCCTAATAACAATAGTATAATAAATGAAAAACGTAAACTAAATGAAAATGGAAATTAAATGAAAAACGGAAACTAAATGAAAATGGAAGTTAAATGACAAATGGAAATTAAATGTAAAATGAAAACTAAATGGGAACTGGAAACTAAATGAGTTAACAATAGTAGAAGTTTTCCTTCCCAAATTAGGCTATAAAATACCATATGTCTACTTTAAACCCCATGAATCAGATTCCTTTTCACACTTAACTGGTTAATAACAATCGTAATAATAAATTAATAAAAATAATAATAGTATATACCCATAATGAAAAATGTAAACTAAATGAAGACGGAAACTAAATGAAAAACAAAAGCTAAATAAATAATGGAAATTAAATGAAAAACGGAAACATCCATCTGATGAGTCAACTCATATCATAAGTCTAACTTGTTGACTCATGGCTGACTCATTAAATAAAATACATCCATGTGTTCGCTGACAAAACTTTGTGTTTCGATATCGGTTGAAATGGCTACGAGATTTGATTTAATCTATGATCTGTCACCATCTAAAGAGCAATGGAGGATCAAAGTTAGGTTATCAGACTCTGGAGGTGGCCCAACTTTTATTGACCCGAGATAAGAGACAATATTGAGATGGTTTTAATAAATGAACATGTGAGTTTTGTCATGCACTTTTGTATTAGTTTTTTTTAAATTTCTAGAACTATTAAACATTGTTTATGGGTCATCTTTTTTGTAATATCAGGGTGATAAGATAAGGGGACTGCACCAAATTCCCTGAAGATAAGAGATTAACTAACGGAAGGTGGAAAGTAAGTTATACAAAATTTTGGTGTTGGCCTTGATTCTTAAAAATTTAAAACAACCCAACATAAATACAAGCTTAGCTTACTTTTAGTCTAAGAATTGTTGTGACGCTGAATGTGAATATCAACCTTCCTATCAATGGTTTTTCATTCATGGAATCGAAGAATACTATTCTAATGATATTTGTGCGTGTTTCATTCATCCAAACTTGATCTTGCATCTACTTGCCTGATATAAATTGATGGAAATTCAAAATAATATAATAGTTGAACTCACGTCACAATTCAAAATATTATTTTATTATTATCAAATAAGCTGCATTAAAACGAAACAAATTAGGTCTCACATATTATAGCAAATCATACAACTACGAAGTGTATCAATTAAATAATGGCTAAAGGAAATAAGAATAAAGGGTCTCCATCAATTCAAATTATTGCTGTCAATAACTATGGCTTTCCGTGTCAAAGATGGATTCTGCCAAAACAATATTGTACCGTGGTTGAGATAAAGAGCCCCTTGTACACCATCATTTTTAAATACAGGTTTACACATCATTTTCAAGAGTATTGATACATTAGAGGAACATAGAAAGAAGTCCTTATTTCTCTCTATACAATTTTGTACCCCATGTAAACTTACCAAAACTCTACCTCAAACATAACTAGACTCTAGCCATATTAACATTTTCAGAAGGGGGAAAAAATACTCAAATGGCAAACCATCAAAATGCGAAAAAATGAGCAAAACTGTAGATAAAGACCTCCCTAGAAGGAAACTCCATTTGCTCAACTCTACAGCCTTTGCTCCCACCTTGTGTACATTATATCAGATCAGCTTCCTGTGCAGCAAATCAATCAAAATGCTCCAAACTTATGAAGCTTGCTGCTAAAATACTTAGGAAAATAATTATGGTACAAAATCTACATCCTTCTGTTATCCATCCTTAATATATGCAGCACCAGACACAATACATGCAAATGTTAAACACTAACAGTAACCAAGTTGGGCTCGTAGTAATTTTTTTGTATTTAAAACTATTCTCATGTCACGTGGAGTTTTCTCTTCTACACACCCTTCGATATCGATAACTGTGCCACATTTTTCTTTTCTTTTCTTTTCTTTTTTCAAGTGGTGGAGCCCACTAATTTGTCTTTATAACATGAGATAACTATCTCCTTTAACATAAAATTAATAAAACTCTTTCTTTATTTACTATGAGGAATATATATTATACTTATTACTATTTTTTAGTAGTAAAAAAAATAATAGTAAATATAACCTCTCTTTTATTTTATCTATTATTTTGTTTTAGAATTGCTTTAAAAACTATTTATTCAAGCAAGCAATTTCTTTATCTATCATTTTTTAAATACATTCGTAAACCAGTTTTAAAATTAAATTAAGAAAATATTATTTCTCATATTATATTAAATAAATAAATTATCTAATACAACATAAAAAAAATTAGTATGTTTTTGATCTATCATTTGCATTTGCATGTTAGTGTTAGAAATTAAATACATTTGTATTAGAAAATAAATTATCTAATACAAAACATGCAAGTTTAGAGAAGAAATCGTATACAATTTGATCTATCATACAAGGACAAGATATGATATTAGTATTATATAACCTGATAAATTTAAGAACAGAAACACATCACTAAAATCTTCTCCACAAGTCCACAACCTCAGTTTCATATTAACTAGCCAAAATGTTTTTGATTGACCCAAAAAGCCTTCCATAGTATGTGTTAATAAAATGTAACCATGAAA